TATATACAATTAAAATCTAGTTTGTTTGATTCAGCACCAAAACTCAGTCACTTGCAGTCCGGCAGTAATGATGATTTCAGTTAATCTTCTTTGTAGTTTCCCGATAGTTTTTAAAATAAGTTCTAGTCCTTGATTAGCGCCATCAAGATAATTCAGCTAACCAGGTGTGAACTGCAAAAAGCACCTATTTATTTGTCACAGTAGCTTTTTAGTAACGACAGTATCATAAAAAGGAACAAATGACACTGTAAGGACTGGCCAGAAAAGACGGTGAAAAAGAACAGAAGTTAGGAAATTTGAGGGAATTTACGGAGTGTTTGGAAAGGCGAGAAAGAAATGAGATCTTTGGCAGACAGTTAGGAAGAAAATCTGTCATGACGTCACATCTCTAACGACCTTTAAAATTTATCTTCTCTTTCCAAAAATTTTTCGCTGTAGGACTCAACTTCGTAGAATTGTTTGCTTCAGAAATCTCGTTTTAGGGTTCTTTAACTGCCTCCGTTGGTGTTTACTCGTGTACGGTACATATCAGCATAGTCTTTTAAAAGAAATCAAATTAACCGGAACAGTATTTGAACTTTCAAACTTTTCAGATTTGATTGTTATTATACAGCATGCTAAACACCTAATCATTTTCCTCCAAAACGTCTTTCAGCTCTGGAATGATTTTTTCAAATTTGTACATTTAATCTGCAATTATTTTGACAGATGTCTGTGACCAAATTGTATTCTGTGCATACAGCAGCAAATTGTTTTCTCCTTATTATTACTTACAGCAAGAAAACAAACTGTGCCAGTGAACAAATCAAAATAAACAATAAATCAGTGTGAAAAAACGTACCGGAGATAAACAGGATAATTTTTTTACGTTATTCTCCAAAACAAACTGAAAACATTATACGACTTACATAATTTTAAGTTTTGAACATTAGGTATTAATATGGTCTGCTTCTCTTTTGCATCTGGAATTACACGGAAACGTCTGTTCAGATTATTATTTTTACTTTTTCGAGAACTAATTGGAATATCGCCATGATTTTTTCTCAGTTAAAAAATCATCTTACGGCGTTGCTTGTTGAGGCTTCAAAATAGGACTTATTTGGCAAAAAAACGCAGAGACGGTAAAGCGCAAATCCTAAACGCATACCAGAAATATAGATACCAACTTGAAAACCATAAAAAAGTTTTTTAGAAGAATTGATGCAGTTTTTTCTAATCTTATTTAACTTCTAACACCTATGCCGAAATGAAACTGTGTCTTAATGACAGTGATAGCATTCTCGATACACGCTTTCGACGTCTTAACTCGCTTTAATTTGTTTCAAGTTTTAAATATAAATAAACAGTATACTGTTATTGTCTTATCTAATTTCGTCTATTAAAATACCGTTTATCGATTAACCAAAACTAATTAAAAAAAAGGCAAAAAACTGTTTCAAATTAATTCAGTACTTAACTTTTTTGAATGCAAAATATATAAATTGATTATTTGTAAGATAAAGTCGTAATGTAGGAGCACAGCAAAAATTTATGTTCTATAAGATAACAAATTAAACAGAATTTTTAGCTCTTATTTGCATTTTTAACAAACAGTAATTGATAGATATGTAAACGGATAAAATTTTGTTCCTAAAGGCAGCTTTTTTAATAGCAAAAAAAGGCTTGACTCTTTATTTTAGAATAAGAGCATTAAACAAGTTTTATACTTTCTCACACTTAAGTAAACTGCTTACACCACTATATCGCTCAATTGACAATTGGTGACAAATATTTCAATATTTTTACAAAACTGATTTTGAGCTTTGGTACCTTCTCAAGGCTAACTTACCTATCCAGTGAATTACCATTAGAAACAAAGCAAAATTTCTGGAGTATCTTAAATTTACTTTGATATATCAGCGATGTTGGCCAAACTGTTTTTTTCTTTTATTCCTAAACTAGACGCTTCTTAAATAGAAAATAAAGTTTAGACGTTATACAAGTGTTATAATGGTAAATTAAAGATATTGTAGAATGAATGTTTGATTGTATAATTAGTGTTTCAAATTTCTTCAAAATGTAAATTTTTTTACAGCTTGCTACAACTGATGCTGACTTTTTGTTCGATGAGTAGGAGGTTTGTGGAGCCAAACCTCCGATGTAGAGTTGCTTCTATTTTTGCACAACTAGTCTGTTATAAATTAATCTATTATTCAACTTCAAATAAGTTTATTGGCTTTAAACATTTACCAAGAGATAATTCATACAAAAAAACAAATCTTTTTTGAAGATTTATTTTATGTCATATCAGTAAACAACTCTGAAAGAAATTTTTGCACCAAACACAAATTACAGTTTTTCTATTAGCAAGCCGTTTTTAATTATATATATAGCACTGAAATAGATCAATTTTGAAATCTAACTTTTTTTAGTTCACGTTTTTTTTTAGAAGCGTTTTGTACTTTCAACCTAATAATGTCTCGCAAAAATACTATTTTTTAAGCGAAACAGGTAAGGCAAATAACACAGAACTGCACATTTTAAAATAAGGCATAAAACAAGTTTCCTGAATCGGAATACTCATAAATCAGCCAAAAAGTATGAAAAATAAAACACTGATTTTATACAGTTCTAAGGCAAAGCAGGAGTAGAAATTAATGTATAAAATTATGGGAACTGTCAGCTGGAGAGTGATTGCCGTAAAACGAGCGCCTAGCACACAAAACGATCTGCAAATCGTTTCTATCAAATTTACTCTTGCCATGTTTTGGTACCCTGTTATATTTTATTCTTTCTCGTACTGAGGAAACATGTACGAAATGAGGAAACGGATGTATCTTCTTTCTACAGCCTTAGAGGCATAAAACAAATAATGACGTCTTTTTAAAGAGAAAGTAAGATAGGTAACTATAGAGGCTTAGTGTTTTCGTGAGATCCACAAAAAAATATATGTGATTGATGTGAGTTATAACACTCTCCAGTAAACATTCTTGTTGTAACGCTTTTTCGTTTCAATATGTCGTAATTTTGTAATACTTTATGCACGTATAAGCACTCAATGAATACCAGGTAATCCAAAAAGGAAAGGCTTTTAAAAATAAGCTTTGCTGTGTCAAATTGTGTCAGAAATCTAAGCTTTGTTTCAAAGTTTGAAGAGGCCTTCAACATTTCAAAAACCTTCCTGTTTGCAATGCACTCAAATCTGTTTGTGCTTGAAAAATTTAATTTTTATCTGTAGATATTTATGCAAAAATATAAATAAATAAGTAAGTACATGTCTATTTTTTATTAAACAAGGCAAGTGCAAGTTAGTCAGTCTAAAATACTGAAGTAGAGACTTCAGAAAGATAATTGAGAAATTTATGTGAAGTTGGAAGATGCTTTTAATCACTGTCTTGTTTATTTATCATAGTATTCATCATAATGCTATTACGAGCTTACCGATGTCGCAATTATACAGAAATAAAAAATTTGTAAAACACAGTCTGCCGTAAAGAGTTGTCAACTTTACCACACGGTGGCTTCAGTACTAAATTTTTGTTAGAAATGAAAAAGACTAACAGCGTGTAAACTTTTATTACAAGAAGATTATCACAAAAAAGGTGGTTTTCTCTAAGAAATTAGGTAAACTGCAGCGCAAAACAGCTGTAATCGAAATAAAAAAAAAAAAAAAAAAAAA